CAATTTGCGATGGAAACGACTGTTATGTCTGGACGATGATTGGGCTTTTTAATAATTCTATAATCTTCGCTTTTGCTTTGAATCATCGAAAAAACAAACGTCCATCAAAACAAAAAAATTAGTTACATTTAACAGAAACTGTTAAGTAAATAATTTAAATTGGTATTTGGAGTGGACTTGATGGGCGAACGAAGTGAGTCCTGAAAGGCTGTAGTATTCTTCAGAACACGCTACACATGTATGAAAACTGATCCTTTTCAGGACTCGCTAATCATTCAAATTTATTAAGTTAACTATAAGCTTTAGGTAGAAGTTACACATGGTATTTATGGAAAAGTTGATAGGCAAGTGGAGTGAGTCCTAGAAAGGATCAGTTTTGCTGTATTTGAAGCGAATTTTGAAGACTACTGCAGCTTTACAGGACTCGCTTCGCTCGCCCATCATCCAAATTTATTAAGTTAACTATGAGCTTTAGGTAGGAAGTACACTTGGTATTTATGGAAAAGTTGATGGGCGAGTGAAGTGAGTCCTGAAAAGTATCAATTTTTCTGTATTTGAAGTAAATTTTGAATAATACTGCAACCTTTCAAATGTATTAAGTTAACTATATGGAAAAGTTGATGGGCGAACGAAGTGAGTCCTGAAAAGGTATTTAATTTCATATATTTATAGCGAATTATGAAAAACTTAAATCCTTTTCGCTTTGCTTTGCCTTTTCAATTCCACTCCAAATTGCAATTGCAACTATTTACTTAACAGTTTTTGCTAAATGTTAATAATTTGTTGATGGGAGAGCGAAGCGAGTCCTGAAAGACAATCGTGTTTCAATGCGGTAACAATCGCAAAGCCCGACAGTATCTTTTATTATTATAAATTTCTACAATAACATTTTTATTGTCGGGATTATGGTAGTCGAGATTTTGACATTGTCGGGATTTCAAGCGTCGGGTTGTCGGGCTTGCGATATAGACCCGTTTCATTTATATAAAGTATAATTTTTATAGTAAAAAAAGTGTACTGGTTAAATAAAAAAAAAATTGGTTTCCAAAGCGATTACGCGATCGTCGGTTAATTAACCGTAACCTTCATTACATACACTCTTCAAGGTACTTCTCTTACCGTCACTGGGTTACCAAGTCAAAGCAAGAAAAAAAAAATATAAAACTTTCAGAAAATGTTATTTCAAACGCTCGAAAGAAACTGAAAGAAAAAATAATCAAATAAAATATTATGTAACTGCAAATTGTGTATGTACGTAATCACACAATTAAAAACAATTGCAGGATACTCGGGTAATAGCGGAGAGCAGGATTTGATGGACTATTAAACGATGGAATGAAAAAGAGAGAGAGAGAGAGAAACAAAGAAAAAAAGTATTAAATAAGTGGCGAAGCAAGAAATGAATCCTAGCCAAGGCTATTTGTTTTATTTTGATGCGGTAATAATAGTAAATTGTACGTTCGCAATGTGTGATTCACGCTGTATAATTTTTTTTTGGTGTTACTCAAGTCATCTAGTCAAATTGACTATAGACAACTATAGACGCTGGTTAAATAAAATAACCGGTTTGAAAACTAATTAAATAACTGTATGTAATTAAGTAAATTGGTAATGCTTCGTAGGCAACCAAAGTTACACTAAACCATTGGTTAAATTTGGGTCTGTATCGCAAGCCCGACAACCGAAAGACCGTCTATTGAAATACCGACTATATCAAAATCTCGACAGTATCAAAATCCCGACTATATCGAAAATTTCTACAATAACATTTTTAAAATTATTTCGGAGCGTAGTCACCTTGTGCTACACTTTTATTATTAATACCAATAAATTATTATTAATTTATTTGATTTTGTTGAATTATTCATAATAAACCTAAACATTATGAAATAATCTCAAATACAATTTAAAAGTCACTACGCTCCGGAATAATTTAAAAATGTTATTGTAGACATTTTCGATACAGTCGGGATTTTGATAGTGTCGGGATTATGGTTGTCGGGATTTCGATACAGTCGGCATTTCAAACGTCAGGAATTTGATTGGCAGTATTTCGGTTGTCGAATTTTGATGCGTGTATCAAAGGGAGAGCAAAGGTAGGTGATTGTGATTGTGTAAATCAACAACATTTATTTATTGTTTTGTCGGTGACAAAAGTATGATACACTGATGAAATAATATATATATATATAGATACGCGTGTTGTGAGAAGTGTTATTATGTTCTTTTTCTGCTTATCCCTTGTTTTCTTTTCTTTTTTTGTATATACACGTTCCATCATAAGAAAGAGAGGTAATAATGATCATGAGTATTTAACTACTAAAAAAATATAAATAAAATGGCACAGCGCGTCGCTAAGTGACCGAAACGGACATGTCGATAATGTTAAATAATTATAATTATAATAAATGAAAAAAAACGGAGGAACTTTTGCCATCAATTAATTCCATTCCATTCAATTCAAGTCGAAAAATAAATAAAACTTAAACTAAAACAAAATAAACATAAAATACTTTCCAAACGTGACCGGGCGCGCACCCCGGAGGAGAGAATCGGTTTTTTTTTTCTCGACATTACTACTATTTTCGTTTTGTTTCTCCGAGCTGCATATTTTTTTTTGTTTCTCCATAGCTGCTGCCGTTAACTTAGTTACTTTCCGTTCGGAATTCGTTTGCGAAAGAGGAAAAATACTATCTACAATTGAGTTATAATGGCGAATCGAACTACTTATTTCTGGGAGAGGCTGTCAGGCTTCAGTGGTTTGGTCTTGATCTCAGGAGATTTTGACCACGACCAGATGTTCGGTAGAGACGGTTCGTAGTTGAAACTGTACATCTGATCCTCGACGTACTGACGCTTATTAGGCGGCTCTGGATAGACGGTCGCCAATCCTGCGGAAACAAAAATCATGAATCATTAAAGAATTTAAGGGAGATGATGATTTATATATGCAACATTGAAGACATCGATTGAAGCAATTCGCGCAATTGCTATACATAATACCACAACATTTAGCTTTGATTTTCTGTTACACAACCATTTATATAATCGGTGCCGGATTTACAATATCATTAATTCAAATAAATCTACTGCAATACAAAAGTGTTTGCTGTTAGTCACAAAACGACATTTATCTCTTACAGGACTCGCTTCACCAACTGCAGACTGAAAAACTCAGTTACAAGTGTAGCGAGTCCTGAAATTTTTTCAATGGTTAGAAGCTTTTTTTTTATAATTTAATAACTAAATTACTTTCATAACTAATCGAGTTGCGGATTTGTACAATTCTTTAGACTAAACAATATCGATGCACCTAATTATAATTCGTGCGGCTTTGACCTTAACCTTCTGCGATTTTGGACCTAAATCAAGAAGACTCATATTATCTAAAAGGAACGCGTCCTGACTCATTCCAATTCTTTCTGTTTTGTTAGCCTGCGATAATGTTTTTGTTTATGTTTTGCTTTACTATAATCGGAATGAGCGCGTGCCATTTCGAACGGGTTAAAAGTCCTTAGTCAGTGGTAGATAACATTAAGTACGTCTATCTTAAAGAGAGATCTATTATGTCAATTACTTAAGCATATTTAGGAAATTCCAGGAATCACCGGATATCGATTGATAAACGATCTAATTTTCTTATTTAATCTAATATTTGATTAAATTCCTTAAAAACTGAGCTTAAGACGCTTCTTCGTCATTATCATTTGAGCGCATCCATTCAAAAACAAATCAATGCGTTATGTCATTTCCTTTGTAGTAAAAACAACCTAAGTTTTATGCATGACTAATTGATTCCGGCACCGATACTAGTGCTAAATGTACAACATCAACGTTAATCGTATTACAATAATGGAGACACATAGATTACCGAATCCATTAGCTTGGTCCTGATGACCTAATTGCAATAAGGGTTATTAAATATCTTCGTCTGAATCATGGATGTTTGTGCGTAAGTTTTGGGATGAGGATAGAATTGGAGATGTACCTTTTTCGTAAGCGTAGGCGGCAATTTTGGTGGCGATCTGCACGGAGCATTCGCGGATGATGCCCAGAGGTGGGTAAAGACTGCCCTTGGCCAAATCTTCCTCGGATACGTTGTCGGCGATGACTTGAGCAGCCACCAAGAACAACTCTTCGGAGATGTGATGGATGCGGGTAGCGATGACGCCGAGCGCGATACCGGGGAAGACGTACGCGTTGTTTCCCTGACCTGGGTAGTAGTCCTTGCCGTTGTAGGTGACCTTGCCGAAGGGAGAGCCACTGGCGAAGACGCAGCGACCCTGAAAATTTACGGAATTAGCGTTTGTTAAATTTAGTTAAAACTTATAGATTACCTCGGTGTTGTTGTATGCTTGTTCGGCGGTGCATTCGGCCTTATGCGTGGGATTGCTCAAGGCGAAGATCAAGGGCCTGTCATTGTTTGTTCCCATGATCTTGAGGATCTCAGGGGTGAAAGCGCCACCAGCCGCAGAGGCACCGATCAAAGCGGTTGGCTGTACCTCCTCGATGAGGGCGCGCAGATCCTTGATCGGTTTGTGGTCTTTGGCGTAGAAGGCTTTGTGACCTTCGAGGCGACCCTCCGGGCGACCCTTAGCCAAAAGACCATCAATGTCGAACATCCAGATACGTTCTCTGGCATCCTTCACGCTCAGACCTTCCATCTGCATGGCTTTAACGCAGAGATCGGCGATACCTATAGCCGCCTCTCCGGCGCCCAAGAATACGAACTTGTGATCCGAAATCTTCTTATCGGTGATCCTCTTGGAGGCCAGGAGACCAGCGACGACGACACTGGCGGTACCTTGAATGTCGTCGTTGAATGTGCAATACTGACCGCGGTATTTGTCCAAGAAACGGAACGCGTTGTGGTTGCCAAAGTCCTCGAACTGGATCAGAGTGTTCTGTCCGTAACGCTTGACTACGGCCTCCATGAACTCATCGATAAATTCATCGTATTCGGGACCGGTGACGCGCTTTTGTCTCAACCCCACGTACAGAGGATCCTCTAACAGAGTCTCGTTATTCGTGCCAACGTCCAAAGTGATCGGAAGGCATTGATGAGGTTTAATACCGGCCAATGCAGTGTACAAAGCCAACTTTCCTACAGGAATACCCATTCCGCACGCTCCCAAATCACCCAATCCCAGGATTCTCTCTCCGTCAGTTACAACGATAGCCTTAACATCGTGCTCGGGCCTACAAATAATTCATCAATACTCATTATCACTCAACAACAAAAATAATTTACCAGTTTTTAAGGACGTCGAAACAGTGACCACGATCCTTAATGGTGATGAAAAGACCTCTGGGCCTCCTGTAGATGAGACCAAACTTTTGGCAGGCCAAACCCACGGTCGGCGTATACACGATAGGCATAAGCATCTCCACGTTTTCGGACAACAACCGGAAGAAAAGCTTTTCGTTACGATCGTGCAATTCGTTAAGGTAGAGGTATTTGTTAAGATCCTCCTGATAACGCATGATCGAAATCCTGCACAGCTCAAGCTGATCTTCCTGCGACTTGAATCTCGCAGGCTGCAGTCCGTGGATACCCAAAGCCTGACGCTCCTCGAGCGTAAAAGCCAATCCCTAAAAAAACAATATTACATTGAAACAATCATATTTAACAACAACAAAAAAAAGCTAACAATAATATTACCTTGTTCAATCTGGGATCTCTCAAATGATCGATACCCATCACCTGCGACGGCGTGATGATGTCACCGGTGATCTGGTGGAACTGCCTGACTGCATTTTCGTTAGCCAAGTCCAAGGCGTTTAATAAACTTGGACTATACTTGTACAACGCGGACGAAGTCGTCCGCGATCTGCAAAACAAATTCAAATTTAAATATATATGCAACCAAACAAACGTTACGAAATATAGAAAAAACAAAAGTTTTGTTGCTTATGGCAACGTAATCAATCACAGGGCTCCCGATAAAAAAGGTTTTCGCAATCAATACGCAACAAAAACGAATTCCGATATTATCGCATATAATTTCATACTTTGTATGAAACAATAGCTATTTCGATAAATTATTACACAAAATCATTAATATTATAATCCTATTGCAATCTCATTGGAATATCTAAAAAGTTTCTAAGATTTTATTTTTTCCAAGATTCTATATTCTAGAAACATTGCACACGATATATGACATCATCGATAATACCGAGAAAAATTTCTTTTCGAATGTTCCGCAAAATGAGTCGGGTCTTTCCGCCCACAGCGCACGTAACGACCGTGTAAAGCCCCATGCACGCGAACAATTGAATGTAATTTTAATAGGAACCTGCTAGATGCCAAATGCATCGCTGTTATCTAACAAATTCAGCTGTTCGTTCATTAAGTTGTCTACAATTACATATCATATCACATTCTTTAATTTTACTTCATTAAGTTACCTACCTAGAATTTATCTAAACTCTCTAAATTCACTAATTGCCTAACATTCCTCAATTATAAAAAGTCGTTGTTGTTACATTTTCTATATTGAATTATGTAACGGTATGTTTATCATTGATAAACGACAAACGATTATCGAACAATTGCAATTATTAAATGTTTTTCAATTATCCACGTTGTTTGTTCACGCTTATTAACCTTTAATATTTGCGAAATTTGATACAAATCGAATTATTTTATATTAATTTGTTCATTCACAATATTTATCGTCCGCTTTTAGAAACGTCGCTCGTTCAATCAATCAATCAAGATCGTGGGCGACGTATCGAAATTCACAAATCAACAGAAATTCCACGGCGTTTCGTTTAGATCTAAATTTAAGATTGCAGTTAGAAAACAAAAAAAAAATGCAATTCAATTGTTAACTACGCTGAATTACATAACTGCACTCTTCTGAAATATAATGCGATTTGATCATAATAAATGCGTCCTTCAAATGTTTGTTTTAATAGTAAACAGTAACTGCGATATTTATAGTAGACTCGAAGCGATAGTTAAGCATCTTTTAAATTGGACAATACTTGGATGGGCGATACAAATGCATCACAATCTTCGACAACATGCAAAAAACTAATGATGTAAGTTTAATGATGACGTCTTATCGTTAATTACAAATGCACGTATATGTTCTATAGTAGATGCTTTGCACGAAGTGAAGGTTACCGTAATTTTAGCCTACATACGGTCGTTATCTGTCCACCCATAACTACATACATGCACGAATTACGAAACGAAACATAATTATATAGGGTACAACGAAACCGGAATACGTTTCGAAAAATTTGCAGGTACATTCCATTCTTAACGGAAATGCCAAAAAATAAATACATTACAGAACCGATTATAAGTGAAACAATTGAAATGATTGTTGTCTCATCTGTAGATCGGCGTTTCCGAAACTTGATGCGACAGATAGCATCAAAGATTTCAACTCACTAGAACATTCTAAGATAAGTATTTTTTTTTTGTTATTTTTTTAAGATTTTATACACATGATTCATATTTAAAGAATATTGAACTCACAGCCTACTAGAAAATTCCATGATAAGCATGTTAATTTTAAAGAATTTTGTTCGCTGTATATTAAAAAAGCGTCGAATGATGACAATTTCCTATTCTATTTTCGTGTTATTTTTTTTTCGTTTCCTGCATTTCGTTGAATTTTTCGCTCAAAAACCGGATGAGTTAATTATGTTTTCCAGGCATTTCGTTAATTATTAAAAACAAATGATTCTCGCTTTGGAATTCAACGAAATCTATTGTTTTTAAATGAATACGCACACACTCATTAAATATCATAATCATCAGAAATTGAAAACCATTCTGAAAGATGAAGTGAGTAAGTGAGAGACTCTTTATTTTGATGATGAAGTAAACGTTCGTCTTAGGTTGCGATTCGTCCGTGATGAGTGTTAACTGGAAGAGTAAAGTACGCCGCCTACTTATGAATGGAAGAGCGTTTGTAACGTCGTCCTTTTTACACAAAGCACGAAATGTGACTAATTAACGCATCTATCATTTGAACGCGACAGAGAAAAAAAAAGCCAACGAGTGGTGTAATGTTTCGCAAATAGAATCCGTGCGAAAAGTTCCGTTGTTTTTGTTTTCGCCGTTGGATCTCGCTGCAATTTGAACAATCAAGCGAAAAAGGGATCGTGCAAATTGAAGAGGAGAAGGAAGCATTTGCTTTTCGCATTCGGATTAGCGAGAAGGAAAGGTGAGAGAAGAAAAAAATAGTTGACGATCGCAAATATTTTTTTTTCCGCGTTTGGTCGTTGCGCGATTATTGTTGCTAGGCACGCGCGATCGCGTTTCGCTTTCTAGAATCGATCATCGGTTTCGCAATACCTGATCATCGATTGTTTACTATGGAATTCCAGAGCGCATTATTATTACGTGATGTCGCGAAATTGGTAGTAGTAGTAGTAGTAAGAGTAGTTCGTTTGATTCTGCGAAATTCAAATAAGAAATAAAAACTTTGATGGAAAGACGCGATGTGACGAGAAGGTAATCGTTCTTATTTGAAACAGGTGATGCGTGTACTGTTTTCTCTTTAATTCTTTAGCATCTTTCGCCTTGAGCGTTGAATGGGGGCCTTATGTAACGGATGGCGAGGGTTGACGTGAGAGCGCGCACCGTTATTGATCCGGGACGTACGGTGTGTGTTTGGTGAGGTTCCTCTCCTGCGCGCTATTTTCGGGTCCAACCCAGAGTTGTGTGTTATATCAGAAGCGCAACCGAAATAGAATATTTGTGCCAAATGCGAATTTGCGAAGGTTTTTTTTTTTGCTGCGTTTACTCACATAAGGGACTTGGGCACTAGGGCGAACATCCTTCCTTGCTTCTTCTTTCAAACGTCTTTCTCTTTGATGATGATGATGGTTGTTGCTATTGTCTTGGTATTTCGATCGCGCCAGATCCTGGACGAGATCTGCGACGATGGATCGAGGAGGTTGCGGACGGCTGCGGCAGTAACACTGGGTCGCGGCTGCGCGAAATTAGAACTACTACTACTATTATGCTCCTGCTCCTTCCTACCTTTGAGCACCTGCGCGCTCTTCTTTCAACCTCTTTTGCTCGCACTTCGTAGGGCAGACGCAACCACTGACAGACACTCGTCGTCGTTTACTCGATCAACCCCACGAATTTCAAATTACACTTTGACGTTTAAGCCACCCCAGCCGTCTGTCATGCATTCTCGAAATATCATTATATCTCAAAACAATACTAGAACAAAGAAAACAAGCAAATTAATAAAGTTCACCATTATTCAACGCATTTTAACAGAATTTTTGCATTGCAAAAAAAATTAATTTGCAAATTGAAAAACATAACAATTACAGTTAAATCATGGAAATTAATCACTACACTATTGCATTAATAACAATCGCAATAAAACTTTTTATACTTATACAGTGGAAAATCGCTTAACGAGTTTAATCCGTTCCAAAATTTGTGGATTTACTCGTATAAAGAAACATAATCAAATATACACGTAATGTATGTACACAAGTTTTAAAAATAATGTAGAAGGCGGGAGTTCTCTTCTCATCGTCACTCGTCATGCGAAACATCTAACGTTAAGCGAGGTTCCACTGTACATGTTTCTAAAAATAACTCAATATTTGCGAATACTGAAATACTAAATACTCGTCAGATTTAATGCATTATGTTGCTTATTGCATAATACATTCAATATGACAAATGGATTATTTAGATTTATATTTAAAAAAATATCTATTGTAATTATTAATTAAATTAATTGAATATGATTGCGTTCAAAAGATGCGCTAAACAATAAATTTCAAACTTGAAAGTTAGGCAACCAAAGTTGCACAAGAGTCAAGATGGTAACTAAATCATGAAAATTGCGATTGGCTTAAAGACTTTTCCTAGAGAGAAGAAGCAGGAGAAAAGAAAAAATTACTTACAATAAATCATTTGAATTAATCAATTAATTGGACTCTCAAATCCTGTTTTCAAATAAGAATCGATAATTTTCTGCATTTTCCATAATTTATATATGTTGCGGTTCGAAGATTCGATCAGGAGCTAAAATAAATAAATTTAATTAAATAATTGCATTACTAATTGCATTACTTTGAATTAATCAACTGGTTTGAAAATTTACATTTAAATTTTTCA